ACGAGGAGGAAGAAAAGGAGGAGGCGGAGGACATGCCTATCTCAAAAACGAGCGTTCTACCTGAGAGGTCCTACCACTCTGGGCGCGAACGTGCCCCGCTTGACGCCCCCTGGGGAAACCTAAGTGCGACGCGTGCTCCATCGCGGTGGTCACGTGGTTCTGAGAATCGACGTGCCTGTTTCCAAACGTTGGCATTCCACCTCAGAGGTCCCACTAATGTGGACGCCAATGGACCCTGGCCGGCCCCCCCTTCGGAGACTCCACTGCGATGCCTGCTGCGTCTCGGTGATCCTGGGGCTCTGGAAAGAGAGACGGCTGCCTCCTTAACGGGCATTCTATCTGAGAGGTCCCACCAGCCTCGGCGCGAACGGACCTGCGACATGCCTTTGGTCGACCCCCCTTCGGGGGGGGCCCACATGCGGTACCTGCTACATCGCATTGACCATTGTCGGCGTCCCCCCAACATACTTATTCTATGTGTTCGTCGCCCCCCCGGGGGCGACGCGCGCACCGAGAACTCTTATGGTATATGCGTCGTAGCGGGCGCTTTCTGGCCACACCGCTCGAGAAACGATCTACTACAAGATGGGTATACTGTATGTTCGGGTCGGACGCGCGCCTCCAAGGCGGACATATAGTATTAGTATGTTTCTGTGCGTCCCTCGGAACAGAAACTTGCCGAGATATCACCCAAAGAAGACATTCTACTTGGTAGGTCCCGCCAGTCCTGGCGCGAGCGGGCCCGTGGAATACCCCTGGTCGACCTTCCTTTGGGAGACCCACATGAGATGCCTGTTACGTAGCGTTGATCATGGGGTTCTGAGAAGAGAGCCGTCTACCTCCGAACGCGGGCATTCCACCCGAGAGGTGCCGCAAATGTGCACGCGAACGGGCCTGCGGACCGCCCCCCGTAGATTCCCTTCTGGGAGGCGCAAGTGCGACGTCCACTACATCGCCGTGATCACGGGGCTCTGACAAGTCACGCGCCTGCCTTTCAACACGGACCTTCGACTACAGAAGTCCCACCAGTACTGGCGCGAACGGGCCCGTGGAGCACTCTTAGTCGACACCCTCTTGCAGGGACCCAGTGTGGTGCCTGCCACACCGCTGTGGTAATGGTGCTGTGAAAAGCGACGCGACTCCCCTCCCCACACGGGCATTCCACTTGAAAGGTCTTTCCAATCTTGGGTCGAACATTCCTGTGGATCGCCCCTGGTTGAGATCCCCTCCGCTCGGGAGGCCGCAATGCGATGCCTTCTCCGCTGTTGTCATGAGGCTCGGGAAAGCGACGCGCCTACCTCCACTATATTTCTTCTGGTGGCCAGGAGGCCGAAGTGCGATGCCTGAGACATCGTGGCGGTCATTCGGCTCTGTCAGGACACTCGGCTGCTGTGCCAAAGCAGGCGTTCTGCATGAGAGATCCCGGTAAATCCGGGCGCCAGCCAGCTAGGCCGGCCGTGATGCACGCCTGGGCAGGTCCCGCTCGGAAGGGTCTGGGTGGGTCTGAATGTTGATGAGTTGAGTCAGTGTATGATTGGGTATTCGTGTGTCTGAGTCTGAGCGAGTCTGAGCATGAGCGAGTCTGAGTGTACATGAGTCTGAACACGAGTGAGTCTGGGCGCGAGTGGACCAAGCATGAATCAGCCTTGGTGCCAGTGATTCTTGGTACGAGCGACTGGGGTGACAAGGGGGAGGAGCCGGGAGGAGGAAGACGCGAGGCGGAGAGCCCGCACTACTGGTTGTTCGACGCGGAGGTCGATACATGCGCATTAACTTTCTCATGCATTCCTTTTCGTATCGGTGAGTCTGAGTTGTATGTTTGAGTATAGTGAGTCTAAGTGTGAGCGAATATTCGCACAGGTGGCTGAGTATCATTGAGCTTGCGCGCGAGCGCCTGCGAGCGAGCCTGCGAATGTGTGACTTGGGCTTGAGTGTGAGCAAGGCTGCACCTTTCCCTGGGATCCTTCTGTTTAGGGCTCTCGGAGGTCCCCACAATCTGCTCGTCTTCTGTTTCTTGCCGAATGGCCTGGTCCCCAGTTCTTGTAGTGGCCTCCGGCCAGTGCCGCCGACCCGGGGCGCTCCCGACGATGCTCGCGTTCGCTTGAAGGCCTACGGGGCCGTCTTGGGGCCCTTTGGGGCCGTCGTAGGAGGAGGCCTCTTGAGGGGGTCTTTGAGCCTCTTGGGGGCTTCTTGGAAGCCTTTTTGGCTGTCCTAGGGCGTTTCTGGCCCGTCTGACGCCGTCAGAAGCCGTCTTGGGCGCCTCGCTGTGCAGTCTGGGAGCACTGGGGGCGCTTCGGGGCCGTCTTGGAGGCTATCTGAGCCGTCTTGGGGGCCTATGTGGCCGTCTTGGGGCCCTCTTGGGGCCGTCTCACGGGCCTCTTGGGCCGTCATAAGGTGTTCTTGGAGGTCTCTGGGGCGATTTTGGCAGCCTCTGGGGCCGTCGGAAGGCCAGAAAGAATGGAGCGTCCCAATCCCTCGAAAGCATGCAGTACATCAATATTTTGGGCTTTCTCTGTTTTTTTTTGAGGGCATCCTTGGCTATCTTGGGTGCATCTTGAGACGTCTGGGAAATATCTGGCAGTCATCTTGGGCCCTCAGGCCCCTGGGTGGGAATTTGGCGGATTTTACATGTCCCCGCCCCGCCCAGAAAACGGAGCATAGGCGCCTCCCCCCCTACCCCCCGTACACCCCCCTTCCCTGGCAGAGCCCCCCCGGCCCCCCCCCAGCAGAGCTGAAGCTCAGGCTGTAGGCTGTAGCTCAGGCTCTTTGAAACTCACACGCCAGCTCGGCGGATTTTTCTTCTGCTGCCATCTTCTCTGCCTCCCTGGACTCAGCAGCAGGAACCTCGCCTCCCTGTAACCTGGGCAGGGCCCTCTTCCCATGCTCTGTAGGACGGCCCTAGCAGGCTCCAATTGCCTTGTGTGCCCCTTTCTGGGCACAACTTGGCACCCGAGGCAAACGAGCTTGCCGAATCTCTGATGGACTCCAATGGCGCGTGAAGAGTGCAGCTCTCTGCCGTTGAACTTCGAGGGGTACTGCGGGCGAGAGAGCAACACTGCGCAACGAGCCACGCATGCACGGACCCGTGGCATACACCCTGGCGGCTTCCATGGGGAGGCCCAATGCCATGCTTGCCGCATCGCGCCGATCACGGGGCTCTGAAGCGATATTTGCATTTACTCTGCCAGGCATCCGTTTCGCCCGAGGCGTCCTGGCATGAACGGGCCTGTGGAACACCACTTGGTCGACACCCCCTCGGGCGGCCCAAATACCATGCCTGCCTCATCGCGGTGGTCCTCTGGATCTAACAAGAGACTCGTCGACCCTCCCCAAACCAGTAATTCTCCTCGAGGGGTTCCAACGCTTTGGACACGAACACGTTCGTGACCCACCTCTGGTCGACACCTCTTAGGGTGCCCAAGTGCCATGCCTGATTCATCGCGGTGACCATTGGGCTATGAAAGGTGGGGCGTCTATCCCCCCCAAAGCGGGCGGCCTTTCTATTTGAGAGTTCCCAACCATTTGGGTACGAATGGAATCGCGAAGCGCCCCTGGTCGACCCCCCTTTTGAGTTGCCCGACCGCCATGTCTGCTACATCGCAGTGGTCCTTGGGCTATGAAATGAGACGTGCCGCCCCCCCCAACACAAAATGGTAGTTGCCATTCTACATGAGTGATCCCAACACTTTGGGCACGACTGGGCTCGTAGAGCACTCCTGGCCGATCCCCCATTTGTGGCATCCAGACGCCATGCCTGCTACATTGCGGTGGCCGTTGGGCTCTGAAGCAGGGAGACGTCTACCTCTGCACAAGCGGCCATGCCACACGAGAGGCCTCAACAATTTTGACACGAACCGGCTAGTGAAACACCCATGGCCGACCCGCCTTTGGGGCGCCCCAGTGCCGTGCCTTTCATCGCGATGATCAATCGTCTCTGAAATGAGACACGCCTTATCCCTCCATTGACGCCATTCTTACTTGATGTTTCCAAACAATTTGGACATGACCGCGTTTGTGACTCACCCCTGGTCGACCCTGCTTGGGGTGGCCAACTGCCATGTCTGTAACGTCGCGATGATCGTGGAGCTCCAGGTGAGACTGAGTCCCAGTGATTCTGCGTATGGGTGAGCCTGAGTATGCGTGAATCTGCATGTCTGTGTGTGGGAGTGAGTGGGTATGGGTCTGAGTGACTCTGAATGGGAGCGAGTCTGAGTACTTGCTATTCTGAGTCAGAGCGCCGAATCTGATGGAGTCTGCTCGTGACCGATTCTGAATGTGAGTGATCTGATTGTGGTTGAATTTGCGTATGCGTGCATCAGAGTGTGCGTGAGTGTGTGTGTGTGTGTGTGTGTGTGAGTGAATGTGAGTATGGGAGTTTGGGTAGTCTGAGAATGGGCGAGTCCGATTGTGATTGGGTCTGAGTATGAAGTGGTCTGAGTGTGAGCGTCTGGTATGAGCGAGGCAGGGACGGGAGAGTGAGATGGTGAGGTGAGGAGGCGGGACCGTAACACTAATAACAGTACCCCCCAAATCTAGGATATGGAGAACAATGCTCCCGAGCTTGGGATCGGGGTTGGGAAACTCGCAATCCATTGTGCAGGATTGCATAGCGAATAACAAGGACATGTTTTTTCCTGCAGGGATGGTTCAAGCGGTCGCTGTACTGTTCAAGCGATCAGCTTGTATCCCTGCACTGCGCCTGTAGTGGTAATTCAGGGATGGGTAGGGCCAGTTTGAGAAGTCTGAATTGGGGTTCGCTCGTCTGGTTAGCTATTGACAAACGTACAGCCTTGCTAACATGAGCAGAAGTACAGGCGGCTCCTACCAGCAGCGGCGCGAGCATGGTACATATGCGGGGATGATGGGCGATTTGATCTGGAGAGGTGGCAGTGATCAGATATCTCCAGGTCGCGAATGTTGGTGTGGGAGCGAGGGGGAGGGGATAATCGGGTAGCGGGGGCAGCGACGGAAGTGAGGGGGGGACGCCAGGCGAGAACAAGGGAAGCAACTGCTCCGCAGCTGTTTGGGAGGCGACTCGAGCATCGAACCAGCACTGCGAGCCTTCGAGCATGGCGCCGAAGAAGGGCAGCAAGCGCGCCACCTCCACCCCGGCCGCGGCTGGCCGCGCGGGCAAGGCGTCGAAGCCGACGCCGCAGGAGGAGCAGCTGCAGGCGCCAGACTGCCGTGGCAGCACGCCTTGATGTTTTCGCGAATCCAAGCCAGCCCATCCAGAGACGACTCGGAGTCGAGCTGTCTCGACCACGACCAGAGGGGGGTAGGGTGAGGGGGGAAGGCTTCTTAGCAGCAGCCCTGCTTCTTAGAAGGCGCGGGCCTTGTCTGCAGATGTAAGGCTGGCGCCTTCTAACAAGCAGCCTCCTTCTAAGAAGCCTTCCCCCCTCTGTGCGCGCCGCCAACTGTCGTGAGAACCAGGTCACCCGCGTGGGCGCGAAGAGAGTCGCGCTTCGCGCATCGAGGTCTGGGCCCGAGCGGCTGCCGTTCTCCAAGGGGGGCAGCACGGGGACACGACGAGGCGAAGGTAAGCGCTCATGGCGCACCGCGCTGGGTGACGTAGGACACAAGAAGGCGAGTTGTCGAGAGAAGGCTGGCTCTGGAGCGCTGATGAAGCACCATGGGGGGATTGGTCACATCGTGGTCGCGCACCGCGTCTGGTTACGTAGGACACAAGAAGGCGAGTTGTCGGGAGAAGGCTGGCTCAGGAGCACCGATGAAGCACCATGGGGGGATCAGTCACATCGTGGTCGCGCATCGCCTTAGGTGACGTAGGACACAGAGGCGAGTTGTCGGGAGAGGGCTGGTTCAGCAGCTCTGATGAAGCACAAGGGGGGATCAGTCACATCGTGGCAGGGATCGGCCCAAGCAGCTTCCCTCCCAATGGCCAACTAGGGGCCTGGTGGAAACCTGCGCCTTGGGCCACATTGGGTCCTCCGGGGGTCCCTGGGAGTACTCTGTGGCTCACTTGGGCCTCTCTTGGGGCCATGCCGAAGGGTACTGACCAAGAAAGGAGAGCACTCATGTAGCAAACTCCTTGTGGAGCCCGGCAAAGGCCCCTTTGCGGCCTTCTTGTGACTCCCTTGCGACCCTCTTGGGCACTTGGTGCCTGTCTTGGGGATCTCTCGAGTTATCTCGGGGCCACCCTGAGGGCGCAACGGCCAATGGAAACCGAAAAGGCGAGAAGGCGAATCTCATTCTTCGAATTTTATGGTTTGGCCTCGCCGAGGCATCTTTGGGTGGCTTGGGAGACATCAGCGCCATCTCGGGGCCTGCTTGAAGTCTCTAGTAGCCCTTGAGAAACCGTCTTGGTCAATTCGGGCTATCATGTCATCTTTGAATGATTGTCTGGGGTCCCCTCGGATGCGTCTGGGCCAATCTTGGACTCACTGGTTGCGCCCCCCGTTCAGATCCCAGGGCGGGTGAGGCGGTCAATCCCAGCAGGGGGGAAACATCGCACCCACGCTGAGAGTGAAGGCGGGATGTGACGAAGAGGCCCGTCACGAATGAGCCGGAAAAGCGCTACGGCCCAAGCAATGACCCAGGCACCCGATGGTCTTTAGCCTACCCCAGAAGTCCCGACCTTGTCTTAAGTCGGGCGTGTCCCTCTACTGGGGGAATATTCAAAAGGAGTCAGAAAATAGTCTGGGGACGATTTTTGGACTATGTTTGAGCATTAGGGGGCAATTTTGTTTGTTATATTTTTTTATCTCTCGCCCAAAAGCTCCCTGTAAGGGGGACACGCCCGACTTAGACCTTGTCCCCGGGGCCGGCTTTTGCGTCCCGAGCCGTGCTTCGACTGCCCTGGGGCCCCGCGAGGGGCCCGGCGAAAGGGGCCCGGGGGCCGAGGCCCGACGAGAGACCCCCGCCGTGGCTTTCCCTTGGTGTCGACAGGCCGGAGGCCTGGGGACGGGCACGCCAGGAGGAGGAGGAGGAGGAGGAGGAGGAGGAGGAGGAGGAGGAGGAGGGAGGAGGAGGAGGGGAGGAGGAGGAGGAGGGGGAGGAGGAGGGGGAGGAGGGGGAGGAGGAGGAGGAGGAGGAGGAGGAGGAGGAGGAGGAGGACGAGGACGAGGAAGAGGACGACGAGGAGGAGGAGGAGGAGAAGGAGGAGGTGGGGAAGGAGTGGGCACGCCCCCAGACACTCGCCGATGTGATCTCTTCACTCCGCGGCCCCAGAGAGCTCCCGACCCCTCCCCAAGGGGGCGGGGTTTCGTCCCAGCTCCACTGTCCATGGCCCCCGGGCCCGAGGACGGGCCCCCGAGGCCAGGAAGGCCGCCGGCGAGGAAGGAATAGCATGTCCTCGGCTCTCCGGGCCCCAGGCTGTGGCGCAGGCCCTCGAGATCGCCGGGCTGCCCGACGGCTGCCGCGAGATGCTGCTGGCGGTGCTCCCGCTGAGCCTGGGCATGCCCGCGGACGCGCGCCACGCCGTGCAGGAGACCCTGCCAGTCAGGCAGTGGCGAAGCGTCCTGGCTAGCCTGTAGTCCTGCCAAGCACAATGTTCTAATACCCTTCTGTGATCTGCACGAAGTGTTCTTGGAACACTTCTGGCTCGGGCTGTCTTGTTTTAACACATCGGTCTTATGCTCTAAGAACAGCGATGTGGCTCTCAGAACACGTCTGGGGTCTAAGAGCATGTCGGGGCAGGCCTACGGGAATGCCGGGACGGTCGGTCCCTGCTCGAGCCAGAGAGCGCGCGGGGGCCTCGGGCCGAAGTCCAGGAGCACCCGCCGGCTCTCCATCCAGGAAGTGCGCACGGCACTGGTCCGCAGCAGGCCCGAGGCGAGGCTCGCCTCTCGAGCCCTCTCGACCCGCCGGCTCGGAAAAACAGATCCGCGGATCTCTGGGGAGGGAGGCCGCCCGCCGGGCCGAGGAGCCAGGCGCGCCGCCCCCGGGGGCCCCCGGGAGGTGCGCCTCCCCGCGGGGGCCGCCGCGGCGCGCAGGGGCCTCGGGCCGAGAGGCCCGCCGCCCCTCCCGCGCCCCCCCCCGACCAGGAAGCAGACGACACCTCCTCCTCCTCCTCCTCCTCCTCCTCCTCCCTCCCTCCTCCCCTCCCCCTCCTCGTCCTCCTCCTCCTCCTCGTCCTCCTCCTCCTCCTCCTCCTCCTCGTCCTCCTCCTCCTCCTCCTCGTCCAGGAAACAGACGACACCGACCCCCACGGGGCCACACCAGGAGACTGCTCTTTTTAAGGGTCGGGCGATCACCCGGGTTATCGGGCTTGCCTCCCCTCCCCCCCTCCCAGGATAGCCTAACCTCCAGGGCCCCACGGGGCTATACCAGGAGGCTGTTCTTTTTTAGGGTCGGGCGATCACCCGGGTTTTGTTGAAGCATTCGCAAGAGCGCGCGCGAAAACTCTGCTGGAATCTGACGTTGCGAAACCATGAAGAGCCGACGAACATCACAAAGGGCGCCAGAAACCGACGAGGAAACGCCGAAAGCCCAAAGATACGCCGGGTTATCGGGCTTGCCCCCACTCCCCCCCTCCCAGGATAACTTAACCTCGCTGGTTGTGCAGGTCCGCGGGAGGGGGGGCGCGGGCATATGCAGGGCTGCCCACAGCGCGAGGGTTAGGTTATCGGCCGGCAGTCTCTCCCCCTCCGGGATAACCCGGGTTATCGCCGATTCAAAAAACACGGTCTCCAGGAGATTTGGCGCGAGTTGTTGCTTGGTGTACGCCAGGGCCCCCGGTCTCCAGGAGATTTGGCGCGAGTTGTTGCTTGGTGTACGCCAGGGCCCCCGATGGCCGCGGCGCAGCATGGAGGGCCGCAGGTGGGGGTGGCGTCGTTCGCTTCTTGGCCAACCGGGGCGGGGCCTCCGGGGCCATTTATCGGGCCCAGGGGCCATCAGAAATGGGTCCGGAACGGAACAGCACACCATGGGGAAGGGATCGGGACCTCTGGGGCCGCGGATCGAAAGCTCGTGTCGACGGATGTCTGGGTCGGCCTTGACCTTCGGGGCCCGTGGTCGGGCACCGGGGCGGGGCTATGAAACCACCCCGGGGGCAAGCCGCGGGGATCTCCTGGGGCCGCGGGCCGGAGCAACCACGTCGGCGGGCGTCGGGGTTCGAAGAGGTGGCGGGCCCGCTTTCGTCAAGGCGACAAGGGCGTGGGGAGTGCGCTTCGACACCGACGCCTCCCCTGCCTCTCCGATCGGCCCACCTTCTGGCCTCCTTTTCCTCCTCCTCCTCCTCCTCCTCCTAGCCTCTCGCGCGCCCAGGAGTTTCGTGCAGCAGGGCAGGCGTAGGTCACCGTGCGGAACGGCCCTCCGCCACAGTCCGCCCCCCCCCCAGGCTCCCCCGCGCGAGATGTTTGATGTGTCTTGTGCCTCTCGTGTGCGCGGTGGCAGCCTGCCGTGATACGTTTACATACGTCGCGTGGAACTGCCAGCACGGGGACTTTGAGAGATACGGTGACATCTCGGAGGAGTTCAGATATACTGACATTGTGGCGGTTACGAGCACGGGGGAGCGAACGGCAGATGACAGACTTCCTGTGTTTTCAGACTTGCGTTGCCATTTCGTGACCAGATGCGGCTACGTCCCAGGCGTGCATGTACAAAAGCATGTGGAGTCTCTTTGCTCTTACGTAAGCGAATATTCAAGAAACGTGACGTGTACGACGTGCCGACGATACCAGTATCCCTTCACGGCAGGGTGGCGGTGTTTCGACTGCGGTCGGGACGCTTTGCTATTTTTTCCGATCTTGTACTTTCCACCCCGCCCGTCGGCGCGAAGACAAGGACGAGAGATGGTTGCTTCGTGGACGAGTCTTCAGGCGAGGTATCGTGCCACGGTCAACGAGATGTGCCAGTGGCTGGAGCGCACACTGACATGGACGTGCAGGCGCTCGTCGCTGCTGATGGGCTTCGACCTGAATGACTCGTTCGGGGTGCGCCAGGTCAAAGGCCAGCAAGTGCGCGTGTCCGCCCCCGCGCTGGGCCCGTTCGCGCAGGATCTCCAGAGGTTTGCCGCGGACCAGTTGCTGGAAATCTTCGAGAGGCACGCGGTGACGGTTGCCTCGACGTTCTACAATGTGGGCGCCACTTACTTCGGGTATAGAGGATCTCGCTGCAACGACTTCGTGGCGGTTTACGACTGGCAGATGGCGCACGTGAGCACGTGTCTCGCGCTCCGTAAGAAGAACTTGCGCCTTAAGTTGAATCTGCAGCAGGGCCTACAGGACCATGTGCCGATCTTGCTGCAGATGGACTACGGCTTCAGCTTCAGCCCGCAGCAGTCGCCGCCCGTACGTTGGGACTTTGACAAGCTCGCGGCGGCGCTGAAGTAAGGCGTTGGGGTGGAGAGTTTCATGGGTGACCTCGAGCTGCAGTTCCAGGAACCGGGCGACTTTTACGACGCGCTCCTTCACGCACCGTCACCTGACGCGGCCTGGGAGCTGTGGATCACGATCGTGCGCGAGACGGCCTCCCGCCACTTCGACCGCAAGACGACGCAGGAGCCCGAGAGGCTCGAGCTGGTACTGGAACGCAGCCGCCTCCTTCGGGCACGTCGGGGCGAACTGGGGCGCGGTGGTGCCAGTGCCGAGGCGGCCTTGCAGCTGGCGCTCTGCCCGAGGCGGCTTCGCCTATTGCGGGGGCGGCAGTTCGAGGAGGCGACGATCCAGCTCGTGAAGGAGATCGGAGCGGCGTGGAAGGGCTCAAGGCTCAATAGCTCAAGGCTCAATAGCATACTCTATACAACCTACCTGTCTTCTTTCACGAACTCATTTCCTTCCACGTTCGTGGCGCCGAGCTGGGCAGGAATGGACAGTGCTAAAGGTAAGCGTTCTGGTGCAAAAACAGGCTCGACTCCTGAGAGACAGAAGGCAAAACCGAACATTATGAAGGAGATCGTTGACGCGGAAATCGGAGCTGGGGGGCCCGAGGATGAGATGATACCAGGGAGCAAGGGAAGCAGCAGCAGCAGTGGATTGGAGGATGCACCGACTTGGTTCAAACAATACGAAGCCCGGCAAACCAAGATGATAAAAGACGAGATGAACAGTGTCAAAGGCCTGATTGACCAAGCGCGGATCGAGGCTCAGGACGCAAGGAGGGCGGCGGAGGAGGTACAGGAGAAGATGGAGGAGATGGAGATGGAGATGGAGGGGATCCGGACCGACCTCGACGACGTGTACCTCACCAAGGAGCAGATTGAGCAGATTATCGAAGATAAGCTCCAGGACACACTTCAGGACCAACAACCTAAAACAGTGGGAGGGAACAGAAGGTATAGTCAGGGAAGGAGGGAAAACACCACGGAGGAGGAGAAGGAGAAAGAGACCCGTGCCAGGCAGGTCATCGCCTTCGGTTTCGAAGGAAACACGAAGGCGGCAGCGGCGATACAACATCTTGAACAACTTCTTCAACGGCTTCTTGGAGACGGTGCTGATGCCCGCACTAAGGTAACAACGGGCACCGATCCTACCAGAATGGGCGTGATGGAGTTCCCAACGGTTACGGCCAAGGTAAACTTTTGGAAGAAAGCGAGGAGTGCATTATCTACTGACGAGAACGCTTTCGGCAAGATCTTCTTCCGCAACAATCTGACGATGGAGGAGCGCGAGCGGGAGAAACGATTGGGGTACACAAAGCATTACCTCACAGAGCACGCCGAGCATTCACACCAGGAAATCAAAATCATCTGGACTAAAAGTATGGTTGTGCTGAAGGACGGGCTGGGGAAGGAACGAAAAATCGCATGGTACGATGAGGAAGGAAATTGGCATACCACCACCACGGGGAAAGTAGTGAAGAAGGAGGTGGAGGAGGCGATGGAGACATGGAGGAAAAAGGTACGCCCAGAGCCCGAGACAGAGAGCGAGTGACGTTACGACGACACTTTTGGAAGTACCACAAGAAGTAATATTTGGGCACCCGGAAGGTCAGCTTTGGAAGGATTTCCCAACTCTTCCCTCCCGACAGCTTTTGGGGGAGATTCGGGGGCTTCAGCATGCGAAGATAGCGACTTCCCAGCAGGATCATTCAAACCTCTCAGGACTGTCGGTGAAGTTCGACGCCATTCCGACCCGTCTGCTTCGACGACTCCTACACAACCACGGACTATGTTCGATTTTGGCAACGACACGCAGGACAACTACGCACCGATTGCAGCATCTCCGACTCCAGCGGCACAGGATCTCCGACTCCAGCGCCATAAGCATGCACTGGTTTCCGACTGTGGCTCTCCCCTCCCGCGCCCTCCATACCTACCCCGGCCACTCCCGACTCCCGTGCCAGAGGACGTTGATTCAGGCGACGTTTCACCGAATTCTTCGTGCCATCTAGCCCGACAGACGGCTAGTGATCTCCCATATCGTCGTCGTGTGACGGTTCCCGACTCCGACTCCGGCAACGGGGCGCAGGTACCCCTACCAGGACGGCCTCTCCAAGACCATCATATTCGTCGAGATGAGCATGTTTCACCAGCGACGGCTCC